GAAATGCAGAATTGCGGCACAAATCTAAACGGCTTGACCTAGGCTCGTGATAGTCGGTGTATATAGCATCATGGTAGGAAATTAGCCATCACTGTGCCGAAAATGGATCACAGGTCAAAGGTCAATGGGCACAGGGCAGATTTTAGACATTTTCTGAGGACATGGTCTGACGTAGCACTAGTACTATAGCCCGCGTTCGATAAACTGCCGCAGGCATATAACGCATATAACATGTTAATATAGCGAATTAAGTCATTAAATTAAGTTACACAGCTGTATCTTTATTACAGTACTACCGGTATAGCAAAACCTAGCTATCATAGATTTTAGATTTGTATTAGTAGTATCCTAGATATATATGCTCTGCCTCTGAGCGCGAACGCGGCGATGGGAGGGTGCTCTTCATTCCTTTGCCAGTGAGTTTAGCATCAGAACACCTGCCGTCAGGTGAGCGCTGTCGCTCTGCGGCACTTGTTAGAAGTGCACTAGCACATCACTTACTAGATTTTGTACTAGTTTGTACTTTTGTTACTTTATGTTTGTTTCTTACGCATGCGATTAAAAACCAAGTAGTTAATGACAGTGAATCGATTATGAGGCCATTTTACTCTGGAATAATGCCAGAAAAATGCATCCTCGTTCAAATATGTATCAAATATTGACATACGTGTGAACGTATTTTACAAGCAAGATGAATCACATTTGAGATAACCCATAACGAATGTATATACAGATGTACTAGCACAATGTACATGGGCAGGCTGTAGAGCAGGTGCGTCGCACAGGGATCTTGGTAATGCCTCTCGCTTCATGATATCATGTTCCTTCGCCGCCGCCCGAACAACAGGACTATAAGCATGCGTGTGCGGCATCACGCGAAATGCCTGTTCTCGCTTCTGAGAACAGCTATTGAGATACCCTTGTTGAAAACGTGATATTTGATAAGGGCGTACAGGGAGGATCGGTCTGCAAACAGTAAATGCGAATAGTAGCGCGCAGGTATAGGTAGAGCGCGCATCAACAACTGTGTAACACCGACGGGCTTTCTGCTACGCATTATATATATATATTTAACCATTTACCTGTAACGCAGACTTTCCAACGGCCCTAAAATTCCTAAAAATTCCTAAAATTTTGAGCACGCCCTAAAATTCCTAAAAAAAGGCTAAAATTTTATTCAAATTCCAAAAAAAAAAATTCGCAGATATGTTTGGAGTTTTTGGTGATGAGATGATGACCTTTTGGTTTGTAATTATTTCCGCATTCTGAAGCGGCAAGGTTATATTCCTCATTTCAGTTGCACTGTACAAAATTTGCACTGATTGTTCGCATTGTTTGCTTGGACAGTTTTTTTCAGGCATTTTGTATCTGGCATGTCTACGGTAAATGGAATAGCATAGTCAGACAGGCGCTGTCTGCAAGGTGTCGCGTAGTTTGTCTGCTAATCAGACAAGGGTTGTAGGGTTGAGTCTAGGGTTGAGATAGCGTTATCAGACATGAGAATATGGCCCACACAGTATGCCTCAGATTGCAGGAAAATGGCTTAAATATTTCAAAATTTTCTGTGGGGGCATGCGGAACATCCCCACACCCCCCTAGCACTGGCATGCCTACGGCACGCGGGCATGCCTGCGGCAGCCAAGGTACATTTCGCCCCCCCCCCTCATCAATTTCTGAATACGCCACTAGTTACTGATCACCGCGGGAACATTCCGCATTTGAAGTTCACAGGGTTGGAGACCCTGCTAATGGATGTTTTCTAGTTATCTTTATACAGAGTAAGTATTGTGACTCTCAGTCTACCAGTGATTCCTAAGCTTCAGTGTCTGATTATACGACCCTGTTCCTGGCTGGATGTACAAGACATGACTAATTTGCATGAAACTTGATGATGTACAGTCGTATCGAGGACTTGGAGGATAGGAATAGCTGGTAGACTGGACACATACAACATAGAACTGTAGCTGTAAGTTAACACGTTGATGTTTATGAAAGGTAAGCGACTTCTTTTATCCCTAAAATGTTTCGATTCATCCCTAAAAATTTCTAAAATAGCCCTAAAAAAACCTTAATTTCTCCCTAAAATTAGCCCTAAAATGTTGTCAAGGACTGCTGGAAAGCCTGGTAACGGGAATCATGACGGCGTACTCGACGCGCGCACGTACAAACGCACGCGCGCGCACACGCCCCCCCCCATACAAACAATACACACAGACGCACACACACAAACAAACAAACACACACAGACGCACATAAACACACACACGCGCGCGCGCGCGCACTCACGCACGCACGCACGCACGCACGCACGCACGCACGCACGCACACACACACACACACCAAAACATTGACAACAGTCGTGGACCAATCACCATTACAGGATGGCGCTATTAACATAGCCACTACTGCGTTATCAACACGATTACTCAGAAAATGCCCAACCAACCAATAAAACAATCAACCAATCCCTTAAACCAATCCCTTAATCAAGTGGATGTCAACAAGCACAGTTATCATAAAGGAACTTCCGTGTTAGCACAGTAATCAAGATACACACGACAAAACACCAAAGACGTAAGCAGTATTTACATGCTGTGTATAATGAGATTTAATGAGATTTAATGAGCGACGCACTCTCGTTAGAAGGCGCGTCGTACAACTAGATCGTGAGTAATACACAGAACGGGTGAAACCTCCTATACAATCAACGCGACGCAATTCATCTTCTCGCGTCACCGTCATCCTATGTGTCATTCACTTTCGTGATGCTTTTACTGAAAAATAAACGTGTCATCGAGTAATAAGCTCCGTATATAATACGTCGCTAGTAGTAGTAAACATACATGTACAAAAATTATAGTACCGCTGCACCTGCGTGGATTTTGTCTCGATTACCAGAAGATATTCCCCCTTTGCATCTCTGATGGCAATCCTCGTCAATCCGAATGTTTCTGGAATGTCTGACTTTAGGTTCAATTCCTATACGTTACCGATCATCGCAAATCCGTAAGAATAGTTCTATAAAGTACATCTCGTGATATATAACTGGTATGTGTGTGTGTGTGTGTGTGTGTGTGTGATAATACGAATATACACATATATAATATGTATGTAATATATATACATATATAATGTGCAAGTAATACGTGGAAAAATCACATGATTAAATAAGAGCCGTTGACCGACCGTCTACCGAACTATACATCTACGCCAGCACAAAACAATGCTATCGATACATAAATCGCGACGTCTCGCAACGATTCCTTACACGCCCTTCTGCACTATGATCCTTTCACTCCGAGCACATGGATGCCGTCGGGGACACGTGCTTCCACCGTGCACACGGATGGAATCGATGTCGCACGCTTCCGCGAGAATGATTCGTTACTGGTACCCCGGGTACTGGCTCTGTTCGTATCCGCCGTACCCCCGCTGCATCTGCGGCGGCGGAGGCATCTGTCCTCCGGGCGGCCCCATGTGTCCGCCCATCTGGTATCCGGAGCTCATCTGCATGCCCGGCGCCCCCATGCCCGCCTGCATCTGGTATGACGCCGCCGCCGCCGCCGCCGACATCTGCGGGTTGTGCCCGCGCATCATGTGTCCCGGCGGCGCCATCTGCGCCGGTCCGCCCATCTGCGCGGGCATGTGTCCGCCGCCGGGCGGCACCATCTGCCCGGGCGGAGGACCCATGTGACCTGGCATCGAACCACCGCCGCCCGCTCCGCCGCCGCCGCCGCCGCCGCCTCCCATGTGCATCTGCTGCGCCATCGGATGCTGCATGTATGCGCCGGGGGGCGGGCCGAGCTGCTGCCCCATGCCGGGCTGCCCGCCGCGGTGCGGCAGCGGCATCGCGTGCGACATGCCGCCCGACTGGCTCATGTGCGGCGAGCCGACCATCGCCGGCGGCGACCCGCACATCGAATTCGCCGGCCCGCCCCCCATCGACATCCCCGCTCCGCCGGAGCTGCTAACCGGTCCGTAACCCGCGTGCATGCTCGACGCCGGCAGCTGCTGCGGAGGCTGCTGCGGCGGCGGCGGCGCGGAGCTGCTGAGGGAGCTCGGCGGCGACGGAGCGTACTGCGAGTTGGCGGCCGAGCCAGGGTGCGGGCCGCCAGGACGACGACGGCGCGGGGCTTCCCCGCGCGGCCCCCTGGCGGCGGCGGACGGGGCCGATGGTCCGGCGAGGCGTCGGCCGCGAGGTGTCCCCGCCAGGGGGCGCGCGGCGACTGCGTCGACGAGGGCTGCGCGGCGGCGCGGCGTGGTGGCTGCTGTCGGTGGCGGACGCGACGGCTGATGGTTCTGCTTCGTGCCGTCGTCGGCGTCGGGGACGCGACGAGAATGCGGTCGCCCTCGGCCCTCAGCAGCCGCGCCGCCCATTTCTGCGTCGCGAGAGGGTAACGAAGATGCTGGCGGCGGCGCCTTGCCATCGCCGCGCGGACGACGCATCCGCTGCTGCTCTGCTGCTGCTGCGATGAATCGCCGTGGTCGTGCTGCTGCTGCTGTGACATGTGCTGCTGCTGCATCGGCTGACCCTGGGAATGCGGCAGCTGCGGTTCATGTGTGGATGCTGGCCGCCGCTGCCGCGGCTTGCTGCCCGCCCTGCTGCGGATCCATTTGCGAACCCTGCCGCCGGGGTGCGGCATCTTCTGGGGTGTGGCGGCCCGCCCATCTGACCCTGCTGCGACCCAGGCCTTGCTGCCCCGTAGCCTTGCGGCCCCGCCCATCTGCGCAACAGGGTAGGCCTGCTGGCGGCGTAGTCAGCTGGCTGGCTGCTGCTGCTGAAGACATGGGTGGGCCCGTGCTGCTGGCCCTGTGGTAATTACCGTACGAACCGTACCCCTGTGGCTGCTGCTGCTGCTGCTGTTGTTGCTGCTGCTGCTGCTGCTGTGACTGTTGTGGGCTGTTGCTGTTGTGGTGATTGCTGTTGTTGCTGCTGTGGTGGTGGCTGCTGCTGCTGCTGCTGCTGTGTTGTGGTTGTTGGAGGGGTTGGTAACCGGGTGCGGAGGTCCGCCAGGCATTCTACCCTGCGGAGGCTGTCCGGGGTAGTTGTGATGTGGCTGCGCGACTGGTTCTGCTGATACATAGGGTACTGGTGCTGTGACTGCTGCGGAGGCTGCTGCTTGTGGCGGCTGTGGGTAGGCCGACGACTGTGGTGGATACTGCTCGATCCTAAAAGAAATCAATGCACACAATCTGTGATAGCCAAGCTGAAGTTTTTTGCCACGAGGTACCTATGGAAATTAATCTACCTACTCTAACTTTTATGAGCAACATTGGTCAATAAAGTAATTCAGTAGATAACTTCTCTGGCTTGCAGCTGTGGTCACGCAAATTACTGCTGATACAAACGTAAACTCTGATAATGCTGAATAAATACTATGCGCATGCAGAAGCACGTGTGTGCGTTATTGTGTACGTGTGTGTGTGTGTGTGCGTGGCGTGCATGCGTTGTTGTGCGTGCGTGTGCGTGCGTTGTGGCGTGCGTGCGTGTGTGTGCGTGTGTGTGCGTGGCGTTTCGTGCGTGCGTGCGTGTGTGTGGCGTGCGTGGCGTGCGTGCATGCGTTTTTTGCGTGCGTGTGCGTGCGTTGTGTGCGTGCGTGCGTCGCGGTTTGTGTTTGTGTAAGTGTCGTGCGTGCGTGTGCGTGCGTTTGTGCGTGCGTGCGTGCGTGCGTGTTTGAGGGAGAGGAGTGGATTGAGCGTACGACATACCCAGAGGCATCGTAGCTCCCCGGTAGCTCGGTGTGGCATCTGTCTCCTGTCCATTCCACGGGCTGGTTCATTCCATGGCGCTCGCCGGTGCGCCGGGCCCTCCAGGACCCATGCGTGGCTGCTGCTGCTGCTGCTGCTGTTGCTGCCCTTGATAGCCCTGCTGAGACATCAGAGGGCCGTAGGGAGGCTGGCTGGGCGTTGGACCTGGCATCATGGGCCCTACAGACACACACGAGATAAACACGATCATACTAACAGCTCACGACAAAAAAATTCACGGGGAATTTCACTGTGACTGACCATTCTTTGCATTATCGAATAATATATATATATTAACCGTCTTCTTAACGATCCTGGCGCAGTCGAATCGAAAGTGGATCATTTTTCCTTTGAAAATCACGGAATATGATTGCGTTAGTTAGCTTGCGATCTACGTTAGTGAAAGCAACACACTCGCGAGAATATCAGTATAGATGCAACAAACGTGAGACTTAAGAAGTGATAAATTTCAAACACTCAAATGCACATACAAAAGACACAGGAAGCAATCGATTATAACACATAAACACAAACGCATAGTTAAGAAACACAAGCATAGATGAATCGCAAACACAAGCATACAAATATCATTCACATATGACAGACAAGAGGTTTTGTGTTAATGTTGAAATAGAAATAAAAGCAAAAGACGCCACATAAACAAAAGTAACACACTACTTGCGCAGCTCCTTCGTACAACATTTAAGAATTTAAGAATTAAGAATAGACAACTCATTGAAAGCTTCTCTCTCCTTGTTTTTTTTTTTTACATTTTTAAGGAAACAATCATGTAGCATGTATAGGTTTGGCTACACATCTAGCAAACAAATTTTGGCTGATTTTTGAGCAATCTTTACAACAACCAACGCATCGTACGGCTCTTCTAGCGTTAACCACTCCCTTGATAAGCACTCCCTAGCATTCTCAAAGGTTTAAACAACGGTTTTTTTTTAATCCCGCACAGCACATTTCATCGATGAACACACCAATCGTTCTGGAATATTACGTTGAAGGCAAAACCCGACAGTCTGACCAATAGCATACAGGGAAATCAAATATTTTTGATAGAGTTCTACCTGCCGTTGTAGTTGCACATTCAAGCATACTGCGCTTCTTCATTATCACCAGTAGCTTGTTCATGCCTAGCCAACTAGACACAGTATTATGGACAGCTAGTTTAATATTTCATCTATATGCTGTCATTACCAAGGTCCTCCCCCCAATTTCCGCCAATTTCAGCGAAAGCCAGCACCACGAAATAAAATAAAAGCAGCTTAGATACATGGTGAATGTTCAAATCCAATGCTTCCAAGTCCAAAAAATCGAATCCTTGAAAAGGTGCATTTCACAGTCCTCAAAATTACACCTAGATCACTGTTACCTTCCGCCAGACCACATACAAGCTATTATGAAATGTACCCCTCTACCAACTGAACTTTGACCCTTGACTACCACGCTTGAAGAAAGAATGCATTACTCACTATGCCCCTGAGTCCCAAACATGAATCCTTTAAGCCTCTCCATTTTCAGCAGAATCAGAGTATATTAATGAAAGCAAACTGTCATTTCATAATTCATCAAGATTTAAATGGATGCACCAAAATAACATATAGTATTAAAGTTGAAATAAACCAAATGTGATAATTGTTTTTTTTTTTACATCGGGAAACACACATCAAAGATATTATTACGAAAAGATTCTCATATATGATTCTCGCAATGATATAATATCAGCAGGAGTGTCATAATATAGACACATGGACAATATATTATGACACTCCCGATAACAGTAAATCAAATAAAAACGAGTCGATGGATGAAATATGCGATGAAATACGCGGCACTATTGATAGTGAGTGTAAGCCCGCTACGCTGCCACATCAAACATTTAATCCAAGCAGAAGCACTCTGTCATCCTACTCAACTCCTACATATAACCCACAACTTACAACAACAACGACACGTATGTAGGTTTCATGAGCGAGCTGATCGCCTACTGCATTTCTCTAACGTGCCATGTAGCACACAGCATCTATAATACCAGGGGTTAAAGCCGCACAATGCGCATCCAAACGCTAATTTCTCCAGTACTAGACTAGCAAATACTTCGTGTCATGCATAATCACACTACCTTATGACAAAATAACCTCTAGTTGCTCCCATTTCACTGCGCGTTTGCTTAAAACCCACAAGAAAGAGGTGAGAAAACTGGCATTCTGGCGCAAACGCCGACTTGTTTGCCAAACAATTTAGCCTCGAAGTGGTGAGCTGACGTCACATGTTTTTATCTTTGCTACACCCGTACTGCTGTACCGCAGCCCCGCTGCACGGACAGCACGGTTGCTTGGGGAAACTGTCAACAACATCGGAGAATTTGAACAACATTGGAGGTATTTTCAAATACCTTTTATAAGCAAACGCGCAGTGAAATGGGAGGAACTAGTTTATTTTGTCATAAGGTAGTGTGATTATGCATGACACAAAGTATTTGCTAGTCTAGTACTGGAGAAATTAGCGTTTGGATGCGCATTGTGCGGCTTTAATAATAACATATTATTAAATTTTCAACAACTGTCAACAATTTGTCAACAATTTGTCATTATTAACACCTGATAATACGAGCTGACGAATGCATTTTGTGCAGGCACCTCGCCAATTTCGTGATCATCATAGAGGTAAGGTTGTTAGATTAGATTACAAGAATTAATTTCCAGACGACTAAGGCTTGTTTATATTTGCTGTAGAACGATCCCGTCTCAAAATCTTAACGATTTATGACTTAATCAATTGTCATTACAGGCTTTGGATTAGATTTTTATCAAGTAATGGCAACTACGAAACAACTATGTGGCAGTATATATCTCTGTAATGGGTAGCCCACGAACTATATGCTTAGTTTGTTACTATGCACTTATAATCAAATACAACAATCTAACCATATTCAACGATTTTCAACTCATTATCATTCCTCTGTGCAGTCATATGACAAATGCAGCACAATTAATAACTTACGATGCCTACAACCTTAGCCCTTGTTATTTCCTAGAGGCCTTGCTTCAATATTGAGTAAGTTACGATGGCGAGCGGTGTAAATCAGAAAGTATGGGTTGGATAATAAGCACCCAGCTACTAGCATCTGATTTTAAAGCAATGAGATCAGGCAACACAAATTTCTTATGAGCAGTCAACAGCCAAATAAACATCGCTTTTTCAGAGTTCTCCCCCAGAAACCATGTGATCGATAATACAGGTGGTTTGCAGTCAACTGATTGCAAGCAACCAGAAATTAATAAAAATATTTGATGCTAGTTTTTAATGCATGGACCGTATTCACGCATGCAATATGTGATGCCATCTCAATGAACATGAATCGAATACTGTGCAATCCGAGATGGTTAAGTGAATTCACGTGTGAATACGCAAATTTTTTCGTGCCGAGATAGGTGAATATGTTCTAGCTGCATTACTTTTATCACAGGTAAAACATTTAATATTCCATATTTTCAGAACAACCGTCCAGCTTCTGTAAAAAAGGAGACTCATACATATGTCGGAAAGTTTTTGCTGATTGAACGGAAGAGTCACTGCAAATGTGCGTCTTTGATGGATTTACACGTTATCGTACAATCATCTTGAAACCGAACGTTTTTGTAAGTATCGAGAGCACCTACTAGCGAGAAACATTCATAACTGTGTGCTGCACGTGTACGCTTCACTTCTCGCGAGCTCGCTCATGCACATGCTCACTTGTTCTGCGCGACAACCACTGCTCATGCATGCAATCGCTCGTCATCTCTCGTCATTGCGCGGGGGAGAACTCTGAAAACGTTCGAACAAACCGCCTGCGCTCGATATATAATCAGCATGCCCACCAACCGCGACCGTTCAGCCTAGACAACGAATACCTTCTGCCGAGCCGCCACCAGGGTTTCTCGAGTGGCCAGTCGACTGCGGTCGCGCCGCGGCGAACTGAGTGCCTGTACTACTACTGACGCTAGACTGCTGTGGTGAGGTGCTAGCGACCACTCCGCTGCCGCCGCCGCCGCCGCCACCGCACTTAGAGGCGGGTGTGGCCGCGCCAGTTGTGACACTGGCACTCACGGCCGGCGCAGCGGAGGCCCCAGAGACTGAGGACGACGACGACGACGACGAAGGGCTGGCTGCGCTCAGCCAGATGAAACACGAAGAACAATCACACGTTATTCCGACGGGCTTGGGTAGACAGACGCGCGCGTGATGCGTGCCGGCTTACACGCACTCACACACACACAGCATTTTTAACGATAACTTCCTCACATCACTTAACTCCATATTTATTAATTGAAAGAATCTAAATGCAGATTCATTGATAAAAAAAATTCTCCTGCGCATTTCAGTAGTTAACATAATCTATAAAATTAGGAAAAACAGTTCAACAGTGGAATACAGTTCAACACATATATGACGATATAAGTTAGACAATAGGTACATGCCAAGAGTGTAATAATAACTTGAAAGGGACAAAAACACTACTAAACTTCTACAGACAAGCTACGATCACATTTCTATCAACTCTTAGAATTTTTCAAATGTTACAGACAAGGTAGAGTAAATGTAAGGAAATATAGACACTGATTACTATAAAACGCAAGGATATAAAAAGACAGACCATATGCTGCGTAGACTAAAAAGACAACTGCACATATATAGACTACCACCAGTCACACACGTATAAATTTGCATGAAAGAAAGCCACTCATCTCTCATTGTTTCTGCAATTAGCACTGCACATAGATGATTCCTTGTTAAAATTTACGAACAATGCAAGGAGTTGCACGAACGAAAACGTTCCTACACTTAGTACATGTATAACATATACGAATCTGGTTCATTATAGAAATTATAAATATTTTCGAATGCAATGAATGAATTTACCGGGTGGCGGCATCTGTACAGCTGGTGGGGTAACTTGGTTCGGGGGCGACACCTCGCCCGTCTGAAGACCCGACATTGACTGTGGTGGCGCCCCCACGGGAGCCTAGATAATATATTACAATTATAGCAACTGATAGGTAAAATATAAAGGTATATAACATGGTGCCGCGTGTAACAAAATATATTTTAAAGCTATTCTGTAACGACCTTTGAACCACTTTTTCAAAAATTCTCTATAAGGCGATTCTTTGTCGTATTCAATCGTCGAAAACCAATGTAACTTTAGTTGAACCTACCTACAAAGGTCTGTGATAATATTACTTACTGGGAGTAGAGCCTGAACATTTTGGGTGGAGTCTGCGATTGTCGCAAGATAAATTAAATTCCTATGCAGCAGTTGTTGGTACCTGCAACAGTTACATCTCACTTATTAGCTACAAACAGATGTAAAGATTCCTAATAGAAGCTTGCTACACAACATACCTTGTAAAAACTAGATTTAACATACAGTTAGTAAGTAATACACTCGAGATCATATCACTGCACATCTGAGCTTTTCACATGTATGAGCTTTGCAATTAAAAACTTGGAATCTGTATACATATACACACTTACTCTGAGATGTTCTACGTTATCTTCAAAAACTAGAAATGTTACTACTATGTATACCACCCATCTACTATTGAAATGTGATATCTTACGACATTGAATCGATTCAAGTATCTTCACTCCTCTTATTTACTTACTGAATACAGTCCTGAACCTTTCCTTTGTTCTGGTATTCAACGATTCCTTGGATGAGTTGATAGTTCTCATCTAGTAGCTATTCAATAACAAATTAATAAATTAACATACCGTCAAACTCAGAATGCACAAAAAATGAATATGGTGCTGTGCCCTACACTGGGAAACAATGTGGTGATGACTCAGCAACATTACTAGTGTTACCAGTTTGATTACCATTATTTATTGGAAGTAATAAAATACAATCTAAATTAGTTTGTTTGGATGATAGTTTTTTTCCTTTCTTAGGGTTGATTTGTGCTTTGTGGGGTATCTACTGATATAGAGCCTCCACAACTCTCTAGTTAAATGATATCATCAACAGGTTACTTCAATCAAATCTACTCGCTGTTATGCAAGAGAGATTGCTAGTTTATGCAGTCAGGATATCCTTTTCTATTGAAGGTGTACACCGAAGCAAATTGGGATAGTCTGGCCACGGTTGAACTTGAACCCTCAACATTCTAACCCAAAATCAAGTGAGATACCCACTAGCAGGCATGAAAATGACCTGTAAAGAAAAACACTGAAAACCCCCGAGGCGGAGGAAGGTGTGGGAGATTTTTTAATTTTGGGGGTCAGAATCATGCAATCTGGTGCATTCTGTAATGAGATTTTATCTTATTTTGCCTCTCCTTGATCGTTGTCTCTTTCGACAATGTCTTTGCGCTTTATTTTTTGGCCAGAAAATACCATGATTTCTGCATAGAATACATGTACGTCCACACGCAAGAACCAGCGTGCAACCCAGGGTACACTGAAAGGTCACCTCTGGCTAGACTGGTTCGCAGCCGCACTGTTTGTCACAGAGCATGTACATTGTCTAGCAGAACGTGAGGCCGGATACCAGTCTACCCTTCGGCAAGAACAATAAGGTGACTTGCTGCCAGCCGCAGTAGATGATCGATAAACCATGCGCCTGTACATATGCCCGTGGTAGAATACGAGTGCTGCACGTGAACTCGGAAAAAACGGAAAACGCGGAAACAATTCTGGGATCGGGAAAAAAGCGGAAATCCACGGAAACACGGAAAATTTTCATGCCTGCACTAGACCACCAACTGCCTACATTTAGGTGAACATGTGTAATGCATGTATATATATAAATATATGTATAATATATATATATATATATATATATATATCTAATGAGTAATGCACTCAAACAGTATAGTCTAGAGTAGATATCTTACTGCACAATCCTAGTTTTGAACCCCGTCCCTCATTTTCACAAATGTGTTAAACAGATCTGGGGTGCTAAACTACGATTGGGCCGATCTTACGGACATTGAGCTGTAGTGTAGTTAGTCCGCAAATGCAGACGTAAACTCCGCTTTGCTAATCTGAGGGTGCGGGTTTATCGTCTGCAGTCACCCTTGTAAAAATTGTTGCAATTTTTGTTGTGGGTATTGGATAGGTGAATCGAGTAGCACTGAGGGCGTGACGGGGGTATATCCTTCGTCGTCGTCGTCGTCGGGGGCGACGAGATGCGGTCGCCCTCGCCCTCGCCGCCGCCGCCGCCATTCTGCGTCGCCGACGAGGGTAACGAAGATGCTGGCGGCGGCGCCTTGCCCATCGCCGCGGACGACGCGTCCGGCTGCTGCTGCTGCTGCTGCTGCTGCGATGAATCGCCGTGGTCGTGCTGCTGCTGCTGTGACATGTGCTGCTGCTGCATCGGCTGACCCTGGGAATGCGGCAGCTGCGGGTTCATGTGTGGATGCTGGCCGCCGCTGCCCGGCTGCTGCCCGCCCTGCTGCGGATCCATTTGCGAACCCATGCCGCCGGGGTGCGGCATCTTCTGCGGGTGTGGCGGCCCGCCCATCTGACCCTGCTGCGACCCGGGGCCTTGCTGCCCCCCGTAGCCTTGCGGCCCGCCCATCTGCGCACCAGGGTAGCCCTGCGTGGCGGCGTAGTACTGCTGCTGCTGCTGCTGAGACATGGGTGGGCCGTGCTGCTGGCCCTGGTGGTAATTACCGTACGAACCGTACCCCTGTGGCTGCTGCTGCTGCTGCTGCTGCTGCTGCTGTTGCTGTTGCTGCTGCTGCTGTGACTGTTGTGGCTGTTGCTGTTGTGGTGATTGCTGTTGTTGCTGCTGTGGTGGTGGCTGCTGCTGCTGCTGCTGTTGTGGTTGTTGGGAGGTTTGGTAACCTGGGTGCGGAGGTCCGCCAGGCATTCTACCCTGCGGAGGCTGTCCGGGGTAGTTGTGATGTGGCTGCGGCGACTGGTTCTGCTGATACATAGGGTACTGGTGCTGTGACTGCTGCGGAGGCTGCTGCTGTGGTGGCTGTGGGTAGCCTGACGACTGTGGTGGATACTGGCTCGATCCTAAAAGAAATCAACGCAGCAATCTGTGATACCAAGCTGAAGTTTTTGCCACGAGGTACCTATGGAAATTAATCTACCTACTCTAACTTCATGAGCAACATTGGTCAATAAGTAATTCAGTAATAACTTCTGCCTTTGCAGCTGTGGTCACGCAATTTACTGCTGATACAACGTAACAGCTGATAATGCTGAATAAATACTATGCCATGCAGAAGCACGTGTGTGCGTTTGTGTACGTGTGTGTGTGTGTGCGTGTGTGCGTGCGTGCATGCGTTGTGTGCGTGCGTGTGCGTGTGAGAGAGAGAGAGAGAGAGAGAGAGAGAGAGAGAGAGAGAAGGAGAGAGAGAAAGAGAGAGAAAGATCGAGCTAAAGAGATAGAGGTCTTGTGCGCATATCTTGTATCGTGCGTATCTTAGTAATTTAAGAAAGCATATTGCTATCAACGCAAAATCAATTACAGCTCTCGATCTTACAATAGCGCATGTTGAAACATTGATGTGAAAGCTGCAATATTTACTTGCAAATACCAGCAGCCTACACACCGGTTTAGCCTGTACACTACGACAATGTCTTATCACAATGTACGACGACAATGTCCTACGTCCTATTGTCCTACGACAATGTACACTATCAAGCAAATAGAAAGGAACACAGTAGAATTTATTATTATTACGCTCTCTCATCTCCTTGTTTCAACAGGCCTCGTGCCTATACACCCACAGTATTGTCATTCCTAACCGCGAGCCCGAGTAACAAGCTTACGTGTGGTGGAGGCACACGTAGTCAGTTTGGTATCAAAAATGACCTACAGGTGGCCGTGTGTGCCGACGAATAGACGTTACACGGAATCGATTTCCTCATCACCAGCTGCAGCGCACGCGGTCGGTCACTGCGCGAATCCGCACGTGATGCTGTGTAGTAAACGCGTAGAGGGAGAGCTAGCTAGCCAACGTACGCGTTAGCGAGATCAAGAGAGAGAGAGAGAGAGAGAGGGAGAGGGAGAGCGCGAGGAAGAACAAATCGAATTTCCTGCTGCGAGATAGGCGGTTTTGGCTTCTCGTGTGTCATTAATGCAAACGCTCGCGAGCTGCGCTCACGAGTACTGAACTAGTCTAACGAAAGGAAGAAAGAGTGGCACAAGGGAGAGTGGCGCTCGCTCTTTGGCGCACGCAGACGCAGTGAAGTCACCGTAGGCGATACCCATAATCACACGCAGACGCGCGAGAGTCGAAGAGCTGTGATGACATGTAAACAAAGACGGTGAACGGTTGCAGCGTATAAAGGTACGTAGTTGAGAATGTTCTATGTTTCTTTTATTGCAGTCGTTGCTTAGAGAATATATGTGTATATATATCGCTCGACTCTGCTAAGCGAAACTGTCAGACGGCATTGTAGAATCGAAAGAAATGAACGAACAAAGAATGCTGCTCGCAAATGGGAGGTATGTATAATTTGTAACGTTTCGCGACGTCTCAAACGAAATGGCATACTCGCGCTTATGCGTTTTGTAACATAGGGGTGAGTTTTGTTGTATTTTCGTTCACAGTATACTTGCCTGGTGCTACGTTTTTATCTTTATATTTGGTCTAAATAATGAAAACTATGAAGAGAAAACCTTGTACCTAAATGTATGGTGTTGTGTTGCGCTCGTGTAAAGTTAATAATACGTGTAATATATATGTACGTGTTCTGGGCATATCGCCAGGGGCGTTTACAGGGTTTTCCAGGGGGTCCGGACCCCCCCCCCCTACACACACACACACACACACACACACACACACACACACACACACACATCCAATTTACGAAATCGCACGTATAATGTCGGCAGTAGTCAGATTTCGCCCTCTAGGACGGTATGACTATAGCTGAAATTAAAGTTAATGTGTGTCGACCGTAGGTGCAGAATTTTATACAATCACATATTAGCATCACATAACTCGATTCCCCGTGAATTGCCATACCCATATCGCTGGAAATTTATCTCCTAGCTCCCAAATCATCTGATCTCATTTTGCTCTCCAAATCTTCCTCACATTATTTCTCAGACATATATCTTATAGTAAGGTGAATGGAAACATGATAGAATTATATAATTATATATATATATATATATGACTTACTTGAGAACCAATATATTCTACCAATATGTCCTTATATACGTTTTAACGTAAGTGTGAGCGCAACATCTGATATTTAAAACTGAGTATACAAAATTATGTACACAACTATACAATGTACACAACTATACAATGTACACAACTATACAATGTACACAACTATACAGTGTGCACATCTATATACAATGTACACAACTATACAATGTACTCCACATGCATACAATCATGCATTGTATATCAAACTTGTCCCTGACCCCCGCAGTACAGCACATGAGATTGCAATCTGTAGTCTTACATTACTCTTATAACGTTATGACTGAAAACATTTAGACGTTAGTGTCGATCGAGCAAGAATATTGTACGTACTTTTTGATCCTGACTCGCGCGCGTAATTCGCGTATCTTTAATTGTGGCTTCTCATCCGTAGAGCACCTGTACGTGGTTGCCCGCAAATGTGTTATATAAATATATAATATATATGGGTGCCTGTAAATGTGTTACTTTGGTGTCCGTTGGAGGCTTAATTATTTGGGTAATGCTGTTATATATATAAACACGCGCGCGTATGTGTGTGTGTGTGTGTGTGTGTGTGTGTGTGTGTGTGTGTGTGTGTGTGTGTGTGTGTGTGTGTGTGTGTGTGTGTGTGTGTGTGTGTGTGTGTGTGTGTGTGTGTGTGTGTGTGTACGTATGTGTGTTTGTGTGTGTATGTGTGTGTGTACGTGT